TGCATCTTGCTGGGGAGAAGTGACTGCTCCATCTATCAGGAGTCTCCTGTATTTTGCAGGTCCTCCTCTTGCACAGCAAGGGCCAAACGCTGGGGAAGGGGGAAGACTGTGTCCCAACCCATGAATTTCCACTCATTTAGGTCAGCTCTGGATTATGGGACAACCTCATGGGATGAGCTGGAAACCACTGGTAAAGCAGCAGGGTGCCCTTGCTGGCAGGAAAGGCAGGGTGGAGGAGTTACTGCCAGCTGGGTGACCAACAGCAAGCCCAAAGCACTGGCCCCAGAGGCAGCAGACTGGGCTTGTGCACCTGTACCCACCCGAGATGTTCAGGAGGCTGCAGCCCTGCCTCGCCAGCTGCACAGCCACCACTGGCCTTGCTGATAAGGACATGGATCCCCACCATGTGGCCACATCGCCAGAAATGCCGACAGCCTGCAGCATCCCCCCCACGCAGCTGGGGAACCGAAAAGCCAGGGCAAAAAGCCATGAAGACGAACCAGATGCTGTGCCAGCCCCAGGGCAGCTGCAGTCAGAGGAGGCTCCTGGAAGGCTGCAGGGTCTCTGAACACCAAAGTGCACGTGCACTGCACCAGCATGAGCAGCGCGGTACCCAGGGAGGAAGCCTGCACAGCCTCTCCCTCACCAAAGGGAGGCAAAGCCAACAGCCACAGGATAAGGCTACAAAAATAAGGGATCTACAAGATTCTGGATGCAGTAAACACCCCTGGACCAGTAAACTCCTCACAGGAGCTCACTGGTTTGCTCCCAGTTTGAGCCAGCTGCCTGGGAGGGCAGGACAGGCAGCAGCAGCAGGCCAGCACCTTGAGGACACACTTAGTCAGTCACCAAGCCTCTCTCACAGGGGTCGGGGGCTGGGGCACCTTGAGCCCCATCCAGCCGGGCATGGGGCTCCTGGTGCAGAAGGGAAGCACGGGCTGCCGGCCATCCCTCCCTGTGCCACTCTGCGAGCAGCCCTGCCAGCCCAAACACCAACTGAAACAAAAGCTCTCGCTGCCTCGAGATTCGCTTCTCG